AATTCCCAGTGCCTTCAAAGTCTTTGAGCCTCCTGGGCGCCCATGTTGATGTGAACTTTTATCATCTTTATTTGGTGAAAAGTGGGTTGCGGGTACAGTGGAATGGCGTCTGTTTCTTTGAAACAGAGCCTTCATTTTGTAATCAGGATAATAAAAAAGTAGATGAAAAGAAGTAGCTTCTGTCTGATGTGGGTGTTGTAGCTTCCTTTAAGAATAATGCCCCTCTTTCTTGCATAGTTCATGGCTTTTTCATTGTGTTTGCCTGTGAAAATAACTCACCTTTTTTGGCTTCAGCTCTTCACATGATGCTGTTCCTTTTGGGGCTTTCAGGGGCCAGGAAGTCCTGTCAAGTGGGGTAGAAGAAGACATCTAATGTAGATTTGCCCCCTGAGATCCCAGCCCTGGGGCTGAATTCAAATAAATGAGTTTTTACCCAAGAACAGGAGCGGACAATCCTTTGATGCTTTAATTTGTACAAGTGGACTTGGGTAAACATCACGTTCTAGGAACACGCCATGATATTTTCTTGCAGGATTTGATTATTTTCTTTTGCACATCCTCCCGATGCATTAACTATACAATCAATAGGGAGCATTTTAATTTATACTACACTATCAGTGCAACTCAACAATACAATTCAAGTGTAGTTCGGCCCCTACTTCAAAGTCCTGACAGTTTAAGGGGAAATAATGGGAGAATATGTGTACTTTTTTTAAATAGGGAAAAAATTGACTTTTTTTTTAAATACAGGTAAGCAGAAAGCAAGAAGAAATGGACAGCAATGGTCTCGAATAGAACCAAACAAGGAGAAAAAACACATCAGGATTCTTCTAACCATCGTGTCCAAAATCTCTGCCAAGCAAATTTCAGAAAGTTAGAATCCCCCCCCCCCGCTCTTTTTGTGTGAGTTCACTTGCCTGCTAAACAAGATATTTAATAAATAAATATACTTAATTGGCCAACAAAGTGCAGACCGAATAGTTCTTTCACTCTTTTTGGTTCGTTCCGGAAAGTTTGAGACTCACAACAGACAAACAGCCTAAACCAGTGTTTCTCAAGCTTGGCAACTTTAAGATGTGTGGACTTCA